AGACAAACTGGCTGCAACGCGTGAAAAAGACCGGCGGCTGTGATTGAATATAGTATACTGTTCATTGGCTTCCTGAACAACTGGTGACAGTGACCCGTCAGAAGTTAGATCAGTTTGGAAGGAGATGGGCTTGCCTTCAAGCGTTTGTGGCCAACCTAATAGCAATGGCCTCCAACCTAATAGCAATATTTTACCTTTTTTATGCAGAAACTTCATCTACGTAACAGATTTGCTTCCTTTGTTTTGGAAACAACTGCCAAGAAACCTCATCCTATCCATGTCCAGCCCAACCCCCCCTAACACAAGCAAACGCATGACCTGTCGACAGGTACAAGATTAGAATTATAGAAGGTATATACATCATTGCACTTGCTCCTGACATCGAGGACTATCATTATTGTTTGTCAAACTGTTTGTCATTTGTTTCAAGACTTCGTTATATTTAGGAAGTATATACGCTGAAGCTCGACCTGTCCCAGGGCTGTGGAACCGTTGTCCACCCCGTTCGTTGGTTTAGGCTGTAGAAGGACAACGGAGACCGGCCTCATTCAAAGAGGCGAACGGGCAGAACGGGCAGAACGTGGGACGGGGAGAACTCGACGTGTGGGTCAGCTCAGGGATGCTCAGGGTATAGGTTGTGCTCAACTCAGCATTGCACTGAAGATTGGTATAGGTTCTGCCACATGTTTCTACAGCTCGCGGCTGTTTTCGACCACAGGGTCTGTTGGTTTCGCCCGAGCGTGGTGGGTCCGGGCGCTCGACCCGAACGTTCAGAGATGAGAGACGGATCGAGCAAGGGACGGCCCGGCAATCCAACGATCGGAAGAACTACTAGCCAGGAGTCACATGGAGGCCAGGGTGGTGTGGATGTGACAGCACCACTAACCTCCACGGATAGCACCACTAACCTCCACTGCTGGAGTGTGCTTCTACAAGATGTCCCAGACACGACCCATGTGACTGGCATTTTTAACAACAATTGGGGGTGGTTAATTTTGGGTGATTTGGGTCGATCTAGGTCAATCTTCCAGTGCAGTCGTGTTCGGGGGGGTTAAACCACTCCCCAACAAGCCAAGGGACTGCAAGACATACTATACGTTGGAGCCTTTAAAACATCCCCAGACACTCCATGTATGGTGGCCATTGACCCCTGTAATCAACCACAATGTATCCCTAAACATCCAAGTACCTCCTCAAAAGGTACTTGGACCCTCCAAACCCACTCCAGTCCCAAGGCCAGGATGATGTTGTGGGCGTGGCGCCAAGCTTCTTGTAGAGCGGATAGGCCTCCTCCGGGGTGGCCTCACCTTCTCAAAGGGTACTTGGATCCGATTCATATGCCCGTCCCACGCAGTGAGGACTTAGGATCTACACGGCGCGGCGCGGTCCTCCGCCACGGCGCAGGTGGATGACTTCATCCCCTTCATCGAGGATGGCCGCTGGGACGGTTGAAACTGGAGCACCGACGGCCAGAGTGAAACAGAAGAAGTATGAAGCCCAAACACTCCATGGGACTGGCATATTAATATATAAACATTGGGGGTGCTTGATTTAAGGGGTCAATGGATCGGCACGTCCGGTGTTTCCCAGATCCGCAGCGTGAGAAGACGAGTTCTTTCCGCCCTTCGGGTGTTCTGGTTGGATGGAGACTGGTGCATAAATGCAGCCCACAGGATCCATGGCGATATGACCTACCAGGATCCGACACCGGAAGGAGGTGTCGATGTCTATGACACCGCCTCTGATTCAAGGTGAGGACCGGAGTGTCCATGTCTACCACCGGACTTGGAAGGTGCTGGTGGCCCATACACTTTCACCGCCCCAACATCAGTGCGGCGATGCTTTGGCGCGTATAACCGTATAGGGTAGTATCTAGTCTATCGGTGACCGAACATGGATGATTTCTGGGCGCGAATTCACATGATCTCGTTGCACTCATTGACTCATCGACGTTCAGGGGGGGTCTTTTGGAGGGATAGGAGTGTTCAGGTGCCCTGTGGTACGGCAGCAAGTACGGATTGCACCTGGATTGGGCGAAGCACGCGGAAATGCTGCAGATGAATGTGGCTGACATCAAGATGAAGAAACTCAACAAACCTTGCCATCTCAGATGCACCATATAACCACCCACATGAAACAACCCACCTAACCTGACCTGGCTGCTGACCTGACCGGAGCTTCCCGGTCCATCCCACCTCACCTATACCTGCGCCACCTCACCTACCTGCGGACCCCATCGCCCCATCGCACCGACGGAGTACCTGACGATCCGAGGCCAAGGGTGGACCTCGCGCACCATGTTCCGCGATCGCCGGAGGCCCCGGGTCGAGCGGGTGGTCCAAGGAGCCGACCGGGTTGCGCGGTCGGTTTGTACCGCGGCCGCGGTCAGCGGTCTTGGACCGATGAATTGACCGAAAGGTGAGACAGAGCTATGTTTTAATATGTTTTGTGTAACATATCCTTATGTAGCAAACAGAGGTTGTTTGGGGATTCAGGCTAAATGGTTGTTGGCATCCAAGGGGAAACAAGAAGAGTCTCTTTAACAAAAACCTTTGGGGGTGCTTCTGTCAAGCTCCGAAAGTCTTCCGGGGGCCGTGGGTGTTGCTTTCATCGGCCGGAGACACCCGCTTCAGAAGGGAGATATACCCTAGAAGTCCAAAGACTATATTTTGCCCCACTGAAGTAAAGCATATGCCTTTTCGGGTCGCCTAAAGACCATTCTTTTGATTGTCTTTGACTCCCAGGGTATATGTTTTCTCTTCAAACCTATCATCTTCCTTCGCAACCTCAGCACTCTGAAGACATCGTTCGGCACCCCAATTCATGGTCATGTCGGGAAAGAAAGAAAGAGGGGCCTTGTATTGAACAAGGATATAGGTCATATCACTTCAAAGAGACTCATTAGTAGTGGCGCAAACCCCAAGAACAGACATGGGGGTCCTTTCTTCGAGTTGCCATCCGATCATCCGATCCATCCATTCGAAGCAACTCCTTCGCTGCCTCAGACGTCGCCGAGCCGCGGAGCCCTTGTCGGCGAGCGAGATCGACGCAGAGAATCGAGACATGTGGGGATAGAGACGAAGGGACGATACTTTATACTTTATGCATCTATTTAGGATGCGCGGTGTATAACTGTATATCATGTTTGGGGGTTTGTCTACTGTCTACCCACTAAACAAGAACAGGTGGTTGCAGGAAGACTGAGGGAGTCAGAGTACGTACAGTACTTAACATGTACGTCTACCCGGCCAGTTGGGCTTTGGAAACACAGCGCCTGCCGGTCTGCCCTGATCTGTGCATGCGTTCGCTTGCTCAGGTCAAGGTCTGCGATTTTGGAAGAGCCATTCGCCCTTCCATTGTGACACCTTCCCATGCAAGGTTGACGGCTCAAGGGGAGAGAGGTTGCAGTTGGTTGGAAGGTGTTCAAGAAGGTATTGACGTCCAGTTCCTCTCAAACAGAGGCCCTATACCTGGAGCTTCCTCGGTGTGTTTTGAGCAGCGGCGTCACAACCATCTTTTGGAGTCATTGTCTCATGTTTGAGTCTGCAGATAGTCCTCTAGATTCTCTAGTCAGTTTTCTGATATTCTATGGGCGTTTATACACCAGCTACGAGCAGTTATTGGTGAGCCAAAAGCGTTCTTCACCGAACGTGCTTTGTCAGCAGAGGTGGTATGAGGTGGTATGTTGCTTGCGGTGTGGTTCACAGACCTAGGACCTACAGATCAAGGCAAGCTGACCTACCGACCAAGAAAAAGCCACTGACCCAGCGGTTCGAGTCGGCTTCGCCTTATTCGTCCGACTTCCACTTCACCGGGTTCGATGTTCGTCTTGGACTGGACGAGTCGAACTGAACATGTCAGGGCGATTTGGAGTCGGCTGCTAGAGTGAGTGAAGCTAGAGTGAAGCTCGTTGACAGCTGAACCATGGTCAGACGGGTTGCTGTTTTTTCGACTATGCCATATAGATCCATATAGTACATCATAGGACCATCCGTTCTGGGTCACCTGGCCTCGACCCTCCACGACTCCGACCGACGACGTGGCGAGCTTTGGCGAGCTGCTCGAGCTGAAGAGCTGTTGCACCGGATTGTTTTATTTTTTCCAACGATCCGAGGCATGAATTGGTCATAGTTGGAAGATCCAGGTACCAGCACCAGGAGTCACAAAGGGGTGCCCATTGGAGGATAGTGGTGCCCAGAACATCCACTCACTCTATAGGCACTAAAAACCCACCCCGACATGTGACCCCTGGTACCAGGCTATTAATATAATAACCTCAACAACCCATCCATGTTGCAAGAAAAAGGGACTTCATTCAGAGACATGGACTTCCTCCGTCCTCAGACTACATCCCGTTCCGAGACTCTCGGTGTCTCAGGGCCACGTGGTGGCGCGGCAGGGCCCTTCGCAGTGCATGCCACTGGGATGCGCGGAGTGCGCGGAGGGCGAGCTGAGACCGGGGACTGGTAGATTCATTAGGGGGGACTGGTGGAAGGGTCCATGTAGGCATTTTTGACAGACATGGACCTGGAGTGTCTGGCCTTTTTCATCCACTGGCCCTGCAATCAAGCAGTGGCCAGTATAGTTCCATGTCGGGCTGCCGAACAAACGGAGGATAGGATCGGGGTGCTCCTGCCACATCCACTCACTTAGAGGCTAAAAACCACCCAACTCCATGTGACTCCTGGTCTTGAGTTCTTCTAAGTGGGATGGAGTTGACCCAAAGCGACCCAAGTTCACATCTCACCAATGAGGCTGGAATGAGCAATCCATAATTAATGCATGATGTTCATCCACAACATCTCTCAAAAAGGCAGCTCTCAGGTCTTATTTCGTCCATCGGTTTAAAGGGTGAAATGGGCCTCGCACCATTCGGCGCACTGTCGCTTCACCCCACAGCTCCGCGCGTTTGCTTCGTCGCTCTGCGCGTTCTTCTCGGCGCAGTCGAGAGACGCTCGGACCTTTCGCCGGGGATCTTTGAAGCCGAACGGAGTTCTCTGGATCTGACCTAGTCACCTGGAGACATGGACCCGAATCCCCAAGGTCATGTGGATGTTGACACCCCCTTCTCTTCCTCGGATAGCACCCCTTTCGCTCTGACTGGTACTCTGGATTTGGCTCCGAACCAGGCGTTAACAGTCCGGTTCATAGGCCGATCCGAGAAAGGGGACCCATCTGACCCTTTTCGGAGGACGCGTTCGGTACGGTGGCGCGCCGCACCCGGGTGGGGACCGTTGGGGACCTGGACAACACCCCGCCCTCGCCTTTCGGACGGGCTCCGTCGACGGGGTCCGGAGCGATCGGATGTTTACGAGTTCGGAGCGATCGGACTGCGAACGGAACAAGGAAGGTGTTCGGATGGCAAACCTGCATGTTTCAAGCCATGAGTTGGGTTTCCCTGTGAAAGCTGGTCTTCGGGTTGACGAAGCGACATGCCGTGACATGCCGGACGGAACTCCCCGTTTGGATATGCAACCAGGCGTACTACGGACCAGGTCCTGATCCAGGTCAACTGAAACCTCCAGGTCAGTCGTGTTGTTAACTTGTATGAATAGAATACCAGGACCCTCCAAGGGCCTTGTCGGGGTGTCTATGTAAATAGCCCCTTCTTCGCGATTCGGGGTGCCCATTCACCACCCAACTCCTGGGAATCCTGGATGGTCCTGGTACAATGCCAGTATTTCATTTCAGCTTCACTGACCAAACCATCAGGCTCGGCGAAAAAAAAAGGAACGCCGATGGCCATCAGGTGTCCCAACTGTGCCGCCAAGTTCCGACGGGTGGTCTACATCTACCGCAGCTCGGCATAGCTGGCGCCTTGGAACGACGGTCGTGTTGAAAGGTACGTAGGTCGCTTGGTGTTGAAAGGAAGAGGAGGTGTGTGTAGAAGCGAAAGGAGATGAAACAGATGAAACGGCTGAAACTGATGGCCAGAAACATCCAGAAACCCATTGCGGATGTGTTTTTAGATTTCAGGAGAAAACCAGTAACTCCTCGCGGATCATTGGCGACTTTGAGACTCCAAGGCAGTGAAAACAGGACGTGTAGAGAGATCAACCTGCAGGGGTGAAGACGTATGTTGATCCGACAGCGCTGATCAGTGTTGTCTTTCTGTGTTCGTTGGTGCGTTTCGGGGCGAACACGACCAGATGATGTGGCTGTCGTGAAAGGATGACTTGGGGCAGTCATCAGTCCTTGTGTGTTTTCCTACGACATGACAGTCCAGAAGACTTCAAGCAACACCAAAACTAAGAAGCATTGCACCAAGTGGTGCCCATCATTCTGTCACTTGAGAAGCATATCTCACACCACGCACTTGATGTCTCAGGTTTGCACCTAGAAGCTCAGCAGCCTATGGTGTACGTCCGACGCAGCCGTTTGTAGCTTGAATTCATTTGAATTCTGCAGCCAAAGATCGTGCTTCCCTAAATGGCACCGACTGAGTTCAGGCCGTGGGGCAGGGCCGATGAGAAGGGGTGGAGCCAGGGCCGAGGGTGGGGAGGTGGGAAGAACAGCGCGGGAAGATGCTTGGCCTGACAGACTGACAGAGGATGCGTGGCCTGGGGGCCAGGTCTCCAGTTTTCACGAAGGAATTTTCTGGCGAAAACTGTGATGGTCATGCTGTCACTCTGGATCTCTTCCGAAGCCCAGATTCGGAACCCAATTCTTGCAGCCTTATATATATATATACATTCATGAATGGTCTGGGAAGCTTTACTATGACTTTGAATTTGCCTTTCTCAGGGTTTGATCTGGTCGTCATCCTGGAGAAAACCTTAATTTACAGATGTCTCACTGCTATGTTTTTCACACCCAGCCACCTCCACCAATGTTCCACGTGCATGAGAAAATGCGCGACGGTTCGCCTCGCACGACTCACCTCATCGCGAAGCATGCGGGCCAGGTTCGAGCAGATCGGCGGGCGCTGCAAGCTAGTGGAGGAGGATCAAGTGCGCAGCTGCTCTCTTGAGGAGGTGACACTTGGATCAGGCTCTCATGGAAGGGACTGGCGACATGGCGCATGGCATTCTACTTTCAGCATGTCGTGTTGGGAAGGGGGTTCGCTGAAGAAAGGAGACGACATGGATACGTTAATTCGTTCGCACATCATGTCATCGCTGGAAGGATGTTACCTAGTTTGCGCTTTTGGAGGTCAATCAAATCCAAATCCGGTCTTTTTTGCATTAGGAGGTCCATTCAAAAACGCTTCTTTGCCGGGTTCGGTTCCGGGCTCTTCGCTTCATGCCAATTGAGGAAAGCCTATGAGTTGCGCAAGGCGGAGAAGTTGCGAGAAGCCAAGGCGGAGTCCGCCAGGGCAATGGGATGTGACGCAATGACGTGCCAAATGGGTGTTTGCTCAAAAAATGTCACAGAGTTTCACAGAGGTCTCTTGAAGATGAGTTTGTAGAATATCTATAAGTGGATTCGATCTGGCTACAGGAGCCGATTCTCATTCTGGGTCTTCAGCCCAGCTGGCGCTGGCTGTCTCCGGTTTGACACCCGCTCCTGCTCAGGAGAAGGAGCAGAAGAAGCAAGAACGTCGTGCAAGGGATTGGAAGCAGATCCAGGAGACATCAGGGCAAGTCCCGCTTGGCCAACTGACCCGGTTGAACGAGGCATGAAGTACCCACAGTGCCGGTATTGGGAGTGAATCAAAAAGGCAAGGTCCAAGAGATCTTACCAAAGACCGATCTGGTTGCTATTGTTTCTTCTCATACAGGTACGGTATGTGGTAATATGGTGTTCCCTTTTCTTCACTCACTGCTTTTTGGCTGTGTTTTTCCATAATTCCAACAAACGAAAGAGGTGAAGAAGTCCTTCGAGGATGTACCAGGACCCTAACCATCGACACCTTCAGAGTCCTTTATCCTCCGGTGATTGCTTCATCTTCCGGTTCTTCCCTGAGATTTTGGGGGGCCTTCCTCAAATACACAGCCATCTCCCCAGATTTTGACCTGTTTGGGACTGGCAGATTTGGACCGAGACCTGGCCAGAAGTGGTTGATGACGAACCCTCAGTCCCAAACATGTCGTGTTTGGGCATGCTTTGCTGTTGAGTCCGGACCAATGATTTTTGCTGGGACTTTCCCAACCACAGCTAGTACTAGGTGGTTGTCCCCTTCCATCTTGGAAGCAACACCAAGATCATTTTTCTAGGACTTCCTCCTGGAACATCACTTTGCCGGTATTAATGATGCCAAAAGCGCCTACTTTGGCTTCCAGCCTCTTGGTTCATGGACATCTGCGGCGGATCGTGGGGGGCTGGCTATGTCTTCTGCCTTTCGGGTCAGGGAAAGGATGACCAAGAAAGCATACCCAGACACTCCAGCCATGTAGGTAAAAAGAATTCAAGTCCGATGGAGTGTCTGGGATACGTTCCAACCGGAAGTGCCAGCTTCAAAACTTCAGTGGGCTTCGCATGTGACACCCTTCATGAGACTGACTAGAACGGAGGGGAGAGACCTGGCGTAGCATGCGAATATCCTGTGAGTTGATGTGGGTGTGTACTTTAAATTCGGGAGACGCCGTAAAACCCAATGAGTAGACTATGGTAGACTGGTCATGAATGGTCTATGTTCTTTTCTTCCAAGGCAATCGAACTCACTGGAGGTCTCCCTATTCATTTGAGCTGCACACCCATTTGTGTTGCCAACGGATGGAGGAGCCCTGGCGCTCCAGCCACTGGGTCACTTGGCTTACTCGACTACCCTTGCACATGAAGGTCAGGACACCCAGACAGGATGATCCTGGTCAAATGCACCATGGGTTTTGTTCAGCTTAGTTCGAACTAGGGGTTGCACATGTTTACCAACCTTGAGTGCCCGCGTTGCACTGCGGCCTTGGCGGACATTTAGAACAAAATACCTTGTTTGCAGGATCTTTAAACACACATCCTGACCCATTTCGTTTCGTTCCCTGCGAACAAACATCCGTTTGAACGTCTGGGAACGCTTCATGACCCCACTAGGACCGTCCGTCATCCGATCCCCACCCGGGAAAAGGTACATCCGGACGGACGGAACGGGATCCAATGAGTGACTGGGACATGCGGCAGGGGTGAAGCCCTAGGGCTCCCACATCCGAAAAGCGGTGGTGGTTAACCACCGAACCTGAGGATATGGGCGAGCCCTAGGGTTTGGGGAAAGACCTTCGAAATGCCAGGAGCCCACTTCGTCACTTCGGAAAGCCTCCCTTCCAAGACGACCCCGCAGGTCTGCGGATCTGGGCAGACTCTGGTGAACTTGGAACACCACCGGTCCCACACCCCCGGTCCCTCCACTCCACCAGTCACGGTGGAGAGCGCCAAGGCAGACCTACCCTTTGCACACCGCCGCCAAGGATCCGCTGTCCTCCACAGGGAGGGAGGCTACACCTGGCTACGTGAGGGTGAGGTGGAGGGCGGTGTTTCGGGTGGTTCACGGCAGTTCAGATCCAGGAAGCGGATGTTGAGGTCGTAGATCAGATACCAGGACCCTCCCCAGTCGGGGTGCCCTGTTTGGAAGCCGAACGGCCGGTAGTGTGGGGTAGTCCAGCCAGGACACCCCGACAGGAGGGTCCAGGTATTGAGTATGCAATACTTGAGGATCATCCATTTGGGTGTCCTGGAGGTCCATACTAAGTACTTCAGGGATGTTCAGGTCGACCCAATGAACAGATGATCCAGGGCATGCTGGAAATGGCCGGGACCCCCGCCTCAGGAGCAAAACATGATGATCATGAACCTCCTCCTCAAGTTCGGCGCGGACCCCAGGCAGAAGGACAGCCATGGCAAGCGCGCTGTGGACTACGTCCTGAAGAAGCTGAAGCTCTAAAGCTCTAAAGCTTCAATCATCTATTATATCCCATCACATACTAATTATGTGAGCGATCTTGCTCGTGCTCAATGAGGATGTCTGTTCAGTGCCCAGAGGATCACAGATGGAAGAAGAAGAGAGTTCATGTTTGTTGGACAAAACACCATCGAATCAAATAAACGACATGCAAAACATGTCATGTTGAGCTGTTGACCGTTGAACCCTAAAGGGGTCAGTTGTGGCCCGCTTCGTAAACCGATCCTCTGGGAAAAAACGGTGACCCCGCGCCGTTTCCAATTTCTTGATGCGGCTTTTCCGGGATCAACATCACTGCAGACAGACTTGAAGTAATCTGAACTTGATCGGGACTGGCTCCACCTCACATTGCTTCACACTGAGATTGCTGCCGCTTGGAGGCCCTCAAAAGGGCAAGAGCATGGTGACTTAGCTGGGACATGCAGAGGAGGAGAGTGCGAGGTCAAGATGGTAGGTTCCCTGCAAGTTTGGTTTCTTTTGTCAAGTTCATGCGCCCTTGCAGCCCTAAGAGTCATACCAGTGTGCAGAAATAGTCAGGGCAGTTATTACTAATCAAGTATTATACACACATCTATTACTGTAATTTACTGTATATATTTAGAGAGAGACACTATTAATATGGTAGAATTAGGATTAAGACATTCAATTTACTAACCACCCCATTTGGACTGTTAAAAGCCTCTTCTACCTCTGGCTTTTGGAGACCCATGTCTCCTTCAAGAGGATGGCAACAAAATGCTTGGACGCCTGTCATGCACGGACGAAAGTTACTGCCGTTTGGTCTTTACGCGGGGTCCAAGCCAGGCGCGTTCAGAGATGAAGCGAGGTGAGCCAGGGCTGCTCTCGCCATGATCAGTTTACGTGGTTTGATGTGGCGGGCTGCGGAGAAAATTTAAACCCACAAAGGTCTTTGAGTGATTTCTATCGGAACTTCATTTACTTGAATGAGCCAAAATACAGTCTTTGG